GTCTCAGATGCTTCGGTGTCGTGATTATTCGATCAGCGCGGCTCTTCTCACCGACCTCCTCCTCCATGTCTATTTGTTAGCCTCGATCAATAAGTCATCAATGGATCAGTGACAATGAATTTTAAGAGCGCTCTCTGCTGGCGCTCAAGCAAACTATTTCAAATGCTCTGTTGAGCTCATAGATTTTAAATTTTGAATTTGGTCATTACAGTTTGAATATTTTGTTTTTCCCATGCTTGAATGGAGAGTTAACCCTAATGTGTGTGTGTGTGTGTGTGTGTGTGTGTGCGTGTGTGTGTGTGTGTGTGTGTGTGTACCTACCAGGCAGAACTTGTGTAGCTGATTGGCTGATGGGTGCCAGGCCTTGTTGCTGCATCGACAACTGGTGGAGTTTCGCTAACTGAGAGAGCAAAAGACAGAAAGAAGACAAGCATGAATTGATGACAGAAATCTAATTAATCATCTGATAAAAGCAAAGTACTCATTGTCATGTTCCTCACGGGAAAACATCTAAATCATTAGACTGTCAGTTTTTTTTACCTCTGAGTGTGGAATGCCGTAGTGGCTTTGTACTGCATATGTCTGGAGGAGAGAAAAAAAAGACAGAAGTGTCAATAAAATCAAGGTTTACATGCAGAAAGGAGGTTTCTGTATCCATGCAACACATTCATGCGCCCAAGGCTGTAATTTCCACTAGGGATGGGAGGTGGGGGCATGTGCCAACCCACTTCTCATAATCCTGTTAATGCAGCAACCCTCACAGTTTCTATTTCTCTAAAAGATTTTTCCAGCTGTCAAATGAAGAGGAGAAAAGACAAGAAATGATAAAAAAAGGTTCCTTTTCGAATTTATCTTGCATTCATATCTTTTTTTTTTTTTTAACCCTGGGCTTCACCTCTCAGGCTACATAGAGACGACTGCCCTCCGTCTGATCGGTGGAGGCTGCGCTTTCAGTCTGAGCAGAGGACACTGCAAACAATGGCCTAACCCGGGGCTTTGAAAATACTGCAAATTTCTCTGCACATCGGTATTATTATTTACAGTCAGTGTTCTCCTTGAAACGCGCGAAGGAAGCAAAGAACAGAGGCATTTGCACGAAGATGGAAATACAACATTTATTTACCATAAAGTAACCAATCCCTGAAGAATCAACGTTAGTGCAGTTGTTTTTCAAATGTGTTAACATCACGGACCAATCAGACCACGGACCCTAGGGTTGCCACCTGTCCTGGTTTTCCCGGGATTGTTCTCTTCTTTTGAGCGACTGTCCTGGAAAATTAATATTCTTTCCCGGGACACGAATTGTCCCGGTTTTTGTGAAAATGCACTTCTAACTTCTAATTTCATAGTTTCAAATAAAATCTCATTTGTTTCCTTCTACTGCTACTCTGTTCTCTTCCTGGTCATGACCAATCCCGTGTCTCTAAACATAATGACAGAATGTGCGACTATTTTGCTTCATGGGTTTCAAACATTTTCTATAATTAAACATATAAAAGCAAAAATCTTATGCTCACACACTCACTTAAATCCTCTTTGCCTGAATTCATGGTAGTGTTGTACCCGTTTCCATAGTGAAAATAAATGATGTGTGAATTCAACAATTTACATAGCATTCCTTTTTTTTGGTCCTTTTAATATTAGATGACCATTACTAAAAAAGCTTGACAGCCAATTTCACAATAATATTTCGCTTGATTTTTTGATATTCTTTTATAATTTCAGTATATTTTTTACCTTTTATTTCCTCCCCCGCTCTAAAACCAAACCCACACTCTTGCCAGTACCTGTGTCACACATCGTTTTATTCTTCTAGATTTTTAATATAGATACAGACGTTGTGATCTCCCACGAAAAACTGTCTCAGCTCCGAAGCTTGATGATAAAGAATGACAGTTCTTCAAGATCTCTGGAGCTCATAACACAAAGCCCATAAAACCATTTAAAAGACCCAGGAAAGCCTGTCAGTTAAAGGTCTTTTCCCTGCACACGCTATTTCTGTACATCTCATCTCCACACTGAGCACAGAGGGAAGCACCTTTTTGTCATAATATCATTAGGATTAATGTTTCCCAACGCTCCACTCTGCAGCACAGAGACAATAGAGGAGTTTCTAAAAACACTCTCACTCCAACATCCGTCCTGGCTGAATCTCCTGTGACTCCTGCCTCCGTTGCCTTGTTAGAGCGCCTGTGTTTATCTCTCCAAGATCATGATTTAAAGAGTTTTTAGAGGCCTTTCCAAATCCCAGACTGAACTTCAAAGAGAACAAACACCTCCATAGGCAATGCATGATACAGGGAGAGGGGTTGGGGCTGAGTGTGTGTGTGTGTGTGTGTGTGTGTGTGTGTGTGTGCAGGCACAGGGACAAAGTTGGTGTGCATGCGTGCAGAGGACTTGCGTGTGCGTGAGAGAGATATTTTGTGCGTTTGTGTGTCTCCCTGAGGTTCACCGCACCTTATATAACAGATTTCACAGTTGTTATCCTTGACGCAGTCTGCATTGCCACTGCTGCTGAACTTTTGACTCCTGATGCTAACTCAGGGATGTGGAGAACAGGATGTTTGCAGCAGCAGAAAAAAAAGAAAAAGAGAGGTGGCTACAAGCTAAATCGACCTGGGTGTGCTTGGCCTCCTTGATTCTATAATATCTCTCTCCGTCATCTGCAGATATGCTGGTAAATATTTATGCACGGTGGCGAACCTGTGAGTCTCCATCACACGCCTGAATCCAAATGGTCCATGCAGGCCCTTACTCAAAAAATAAATGCTGAACAGCTTAATGCAGCATGAATCAGAGACGCAGCAGCAGGCAGGAGGAGCTGCTGCACTTCTGCTCCCACGTTTATGAGTCTCAGTAAAGGACGTCACTTCTAACTGCAATAAAATTCCCTGTGGTCCTCTCCGAGTAAAAGTGCTTATTTTTGTTAAGGAAACGACTACTACAGTATTTGTGCTGATATTTAGGAGAGGAGGGTTAACCTGTTAGGAGCTGAGTCTGAGGCAGAGACACGCTCTTTTTACTGGGTAAAATGCAGCTGTGCAACACCGATGATTCTGTTACCTCAGCAGTAATAAATCCAGCTGTTATTGAAGCGCCTCATTAACACATTCTCTGTGAGAGTGGACTAATGGTTTTGATTTGAGCAGTCATATCCCTCCTGGCTGGACGTCATGATGGATCTCAACTTAACTACAGCAGGCGATACGTATTAATGGTCGTTTGTTCCACCCCTCTGATACGACCCACAGGAGTGTCTCCTGACAAAGCTCCTCTGCGGCGGCTGGTTACAATAATAAACGCTTGGACTGTACCGACAGTGGCGTATTGGGAGTTTCGTCGCCGTGGTTACAGTAATAAACGATATTGGCTTGGTTAGGTTTAGGCGCGAAAAGGATGTCCCGTAACGAAGGCTCCAACTGGTGGATCGTTCGTGGCCCTTCGCTGTCTTCGTGGACACAGCTGTAATTTGGGTTAAAATGAGTACTTCCTTAATATTAGACGATCTTTGTTGTCATGGTTACAATAATAACAACATGTCGCCAAACAACGAAACGTAACTACAGGTCACCACAATAACCTGCTTTTTTACAGGACAGCAGCGTCTGCACATATCACCTTGTGAAGTAGTTACTCTACTTATTTTCCCTCGACACATTAAACCTTTTTTTCATTTTCTGCATTTTGATTTTTACCCTTTAATACTCCAAATCCTTACTATCACAAGATCTACATTGTTATGGCTGTGGAGCGTTGATCAATGCCACGCTCTCTCCTTCACTTTGCTGTAAATCTGTTTAATGAGAATTGAAACAAATCAAGTGTTTCCCTCTCTGAGGCCATAATAGCCAACATTTTAAAGCTGTCTTGTCTTGTGGGTCAGACACGTTCCAGCTGTTTAATCCTCTGGATGTTATAATGAATCTTGTCGGCCTTCAGGAACGCCTGCTCTTCAGTATTAACGACGGTTGGTGGAGCTCAACATCAAGCATGATAATGACCCTTTCAAAACTCAAATGTTATTAATACATATATTAATTAACAATGCAAGCCTCTCATGAATATTTATCAGTTTCTTAATATAGAAGGGATCCGAGATGAAGTGTGCAGGGACAAATGAGCAACAAACAACAAATGGAACCATGTTGGAGCAGCTGGAAATTCAATCATTTGTCCTTTAAAGCTTTTAAAGGTCCAGATTTTAAAATGTCAGTGTTTTATTTGAAGTGTTGATCAATAAGAAGATATATTTGTGGTTTTAAGAATCAAAAACCATCTCAATGTAGTTCCTCCTCTCTCAGGCTTCTCTCTGGAGCTCTAGTAACAACAGCTCGGTCAGCCAATCAGAAGAGAGGAGGCTCTGAGCCTCTCTTCTGATTGGCTGACTGATCCAATGAGTGATCCAATAAAAATATAGCAGATTTCAGGTAAAACACTCAGAGAAACCAAATCCTGCAAAGATTGGAAGTTGGGTCCAGGTGGGCGGGGCTTGGTGACTGCTTTGTTGTGACATCACAAAGTTCCAGAAGTCCTGACGGCTGGTTTTAAGGCTCAGTTTCTGAATACAGGCTGTGTGCATTTCTCTGTGGACTGAGGCTTTGATACTTTCACAGTATTAATATAGAAGCTAGACCTGATCTATAATCACACTACACATGGACAGAGACCTGCAGACTATATGAGACTTACAATTACAATTACTTACAACAAAAAATGTACATTAAAAATGTAAGAAAAAGGGTGGGAGTCACGAAAACTTACGATCTGTATCCATATGTGTTTATATCACAAACATATCATTATTTGGATTTATACTTAAACTTATTAGAAATTCTGCTCCTACATTGAATAGTTTTCTACATTTACATTCCTCATCATCTGTATTCAAATAAAAAAAAGAAAGAGAAAAAAAGAAGATGAATCCAAACTGAGACAACAAGCTGTTTAACTGAATAGAACAGAAGCTTTTAACGGTCAAATTACACGATTCCTTTAAAACCAGATTAAAATTAAACTGGTTGCTGAAGCGTCTATGATAAAAACAAAAAAGGAGAGCTATTGAAAAAATGGCCTACAACAGCTTTTTGGGGTCATATTGCATTAAAACGAGGTTGTGCATGCGGAGGAAAGAGGTCCAGATGAAACTGAATTTTCTCATAAAATAGAAGGGCTATTGATAAAAATATCTGAAAGGCTTCCTTTGGCCCTTCAGCGTGTACGTTTAATACTTCAGCTCCTCAGTCTCCTGTCTATTGTCAGTTTGCACAGAGTGTCAAAATAAGAGTCAAGGTAAAAATAAGACCTGTGGGAACATGAGTCGAGCTTTAATGTGGTAGAAACTGATGAAAAGATGTTGAGGATGAACCGCTTGCAAATGTCTAAATACTGAACCTAAAACCAGCTACACCTCCATGTTTTACATTTAGATAAAATGTGCATCATATTACCAGTGCTTCCTGTTCACACTGCACGGACAGAGATCACATGGATTGAGTTTGATTATGAGGAAAAAGTCTGAATGTGACGTTTATGAGAAAAGAACTGAAGTTTCTTAAATGATTTCTGAACAGGTTTATGGAGAC